CTACCGGATGCTAGACGGGCGCACGGTCTACCTCAACACGCTCATCAGGCCAGAGGAGAGCGAGCCAGCCGCCGCCGCCGCCTCCTCCTCCGCCGCCGCCGCCGAGCAGAGCAGCGGCGGCGCTAGTTGCAGCGGCGGCGGCGCTGGCTGCAGCGGCGGCGGCGCTGGCTGCAGCGGCGGCGGCGCGAGCCCGCCCGAGATTGCGCGGCACGAGCTTCTGTGGAGGCCGGCGGCGCTGCAGGCGGCCCTCCGCCGTCACGCCCGCCCCCTGGTGCCGCAGCGACCGACCGTCCCTCCCTCCCGCCTCCGCAGACGGCGCTCTTCACGTCGTACGGCACCGACTACTCCTTCCTGGCGGAGATGGTCGCAGGCTCGCCCGCGGCGGCGAGGCGGCGAGGCGTCACGGTGGTGGACAACTACGACCACCACCGCACGCCGGCCGGGCTCGACGAGCACACGTACACCGTCCACAACGCCGCCGTCCGCGCAAACTTCTCCGTCGTGCTGCCGCCCTTCTTCAGCGACGACACCGCCGCCGCCGACCGGACGCGCGTGCACCACGGGACGATGCACCCAAAGATGTGGCTGCTCGAGTTCAGCGAGGGCGGCGCGTGCGGCAGCGGCTTCCTGCGGCTCGCAATCTCCTCGGCCAACCTCGGCCGGTACGATGCCAAGATCAACAACCAGGTGTGGGCGTGCTGCTCCCCCTGCTGCTGCCGCTGCTCTCCTCTCTTCACGCCTCCGGGCTCACCCTCTGTGTGGACAGGCGTGCCCCCGCTGCTCCCCCTGCTGCTGCCGCTGCTCCCCTCTCTCCACGCCTCCGGGCTCACCCTCTGTGTGGACAGGTGTGGGCGTGCGACTTTGTGCGCGCGCAGGACGCCGTCGAGGCTGCTCGCGCGCTCGGCGTCTCGCAGCTCAAGGCGGAGCTCAAGGAGCGGCGAGTCGACGCCGCCGGCTGCAGCGAGAAGGCGGAGCTGGTGCGTGTGGGGCGAGCCCGGCGGGCACAGAGCGAGCGTGCGCCGCCCCCCTCACCTCCACCGGCGGCTCGCCTAGGCGGAGAGACTCGTCGAGGCGCGCCGAGCCGACTCGGCCGGCTTTGGCGCCGACCTCCTCTTCTTCGTGGAGCGGCTCGTCGGCAGAGCGGCGCCGGAGCTGTTTCGCCAGTGGGAGGCGCTGCTGAGCCGCTACGACCTCACGCCGCCCGCGGGTGCGCCTCGAGTTGGACGGCAGCGCACCGCTCTCCCCTCCCCTCCCGCATCCCTCTTTTGCGTATCTTACCGCCGTAGGCACGCACCTCATCTTCTCCGCTCCTGGCCGCTACTCTGGCCCAGAGGCGGAACGCTACGGCCTCCGCGCGCTGCAGCGCCACCTCAAGGTCTTGAGCGACCGGCCAGTGGCGCAGCGGCCGACAGCGGTCGAGTACGCTTGCTCGTCGCTCGGGCAGCTCGACGACATCCTGCAGCCGCTGCTCGGCGTGCGGCCAAACTACAAGCAGGCGCCGCGCATGGCTGTCCGCGGAGCCTTCCTGGAGGGGCTGCACAAGCCTCCGCACGTCAAGGCGCGAGGTCGTCCTCTCGCCCTCCCCCCGCCCCTCGCTTTGCAGCCCGCCCCTCCCTCCGTCTAGGGCGCGGCGGCGCGGCTGGTGTGGCCGTCTCTGACGGCATCGCTGCCCGCCTTTGCGCGCGGCAAGGGGATGCTCACCATCGGCGGCGGCAAGAACACCATGACGGGCCCGTCCGAGTTCAAGTCGCAGCAGCTCAAGGCGTGCATGGCGCACAATATCGCCGCCGACCCGCGCCGCTCCGCCACTCTCCACCACGTCAAGATGGCCGCCGGCATCGTCCGCTCCCTTCAGCGCGGAGGGCCGCAGCGCGAGGTGGCGCCGCTCTGCGCGTGGGTGTACGCCGGATCCCACAACCTGTCGGGCGCCGCGTGGGGCAAGATGGAGGCCGCGACCGGCAGTGACGACGAGAGCGGGGACGAGGACGAGGAGTTTGTCGTCATGTCGTACGAGGTCGGCGTGCTGCTGCTGCCGCCGGAGCCTCGCCCCTTTGCGCTGCCGTGGGTGACCGCCGCGGCCCCGTACGACCCGAACCGAGTTCAAGTCCCTTCTTCTACTTTCCGTTTATTTCGCCTTTCCTGCCTGGGGTATCCATTTCCTAGTCCTAGGGATTCT